AATGCTAATGGCATCAGTTGGGTCATGGGCTGCTCTTGCGTACGGTGGGGCTCTGTCCCCAGCAGCCTGCCACAGACTTGTTTTTGTGGCTTAATGCATCGCGCAAGCCATCAGCAGAGGTAAGGAAAGAAAATGCCCCTCAGAAGGGTCTCACGTTAGTGAAAATGGTGCCCTGGGCAAACCTGTGTTTTGGTGCCCCCTGACCGCCGTGGGCATAACACTACCTCTTTCCCCTGGCACCCCTGGGCTCCCCAATCCATACACCCCCATCCTGTGTCCCCTTTACCACCCACCCCTGTATTGTGCCCCCTTTGCCCCAACCTCTGCACAGTGCCCCCTTCCTCCCAACACCTGCACTTACCTTCCACTAGTGCCCTCAGCCCTGCGCTTCCAGCATGCCGCACCACACCGCCTCCCCTCCCCCTGTATCCTCCACCCTGTTTGCCCAGCAACACCCATGCCCAGTTGCCTGGCCCTAAGGCTGGTTAGACAGACAATGATGGACGAGTCTGTTCCATGGACGGAACCAGGGGGCCTTGGTCCAGGCTGAGGCTGAGGCAGAAATACCTTGAAAGCCCCATGCCAGTTCCTCACCGACCCGGTGTGAACTAACTCCCTGGGCGTGACAGCAACTCCTACCTATTGAGGACCTGGTCTGGTGTTCTACCTCTACCGTACATGTAATTAGATGCTATGTGGACACTTACCATCAATTCCATTCCATTGGCATAAGAATGTGGGCAAGAGCATGGCTCAACGGTGAATCCGGTGCTGCCAGCAAATAAAGGAAGAGGTCACATCACCACTGGCTGCCTCTGTTTCCCCCATGCAACGATAACGATGCCCTGGATGAACACCACGACGGAGTGATGCTTCCAGGCACATTTCGGGCCTCAGCCCACTCAGTCCCCTCTGGAGGTAAGTGGTTTCTTCGATAACGATGCCCTGGATGAACACCATGACGGAGTGATGCTTCCAGGCGCATTTCAGGCCTCAGCCCACCCAGTCCCCTCTGGAGGTAAGTGGTTTCTTTGTGTTTCTCGGGCCATCATTTACAGCAGGGCAGAATGCCATCTGACTGGAACAATGGCATCACAGACCCTCTTTGCCTGGTGTTAATGCCACCCTGAGCCACAGGGGAAAGGAGACTTGGATGTTGGCTAATTACAGAGGCCCCCTGGGAGCAGACAGAGGCAGAGGGTGGTGCTCTGTGGCTGGCTGCCATCCACAAACTCCATCTCTCCTACTGGAGAGAAAGCTGCCTGCTAGCGCTGGGGGAAGGGGGCCTCCTTGTTTTCTTGGGGCAAAGCCGGGAGAGGTGATGGCAGGGAGTTGGTTCCTATCTCTTCAAGGAGGAGCTCAGCCAGGATAAACTAATCCAGGCTGGGCCCCCCTCTGCCCCCAGGTAAGGTGCGAGCCTTGCGTGTCACGGCCCTGCCGCCTGGATTGGATGGGACTCCCCCAGACTCGGTGATAAATTGCAGCCCTGCAGAGCGCTGTTTGCAGAGCTGCGTGACAGGAGGTCCACCCTAAGGAGATGCTGCAGCGTGTTGGCCTGCCAGGGACTACACGCACCCATGTTATGCTACAGCTTAGACCCTATGCTGCGCCAATCACAGGGGTGATGGGGGGGCCTTTGATTGGTAGCAGACTGGGAAGCAAAACTCCAACCTCTCTCAAAGAATTAGATACAGACACCCTTTAACTGAGGCCCTATCAGCAACTGTCACGAAAGCAGGGGCTCGCCCCGTCTCCCCTCGGCCTGGGACAGGGACTACTTCTCGCTGTGTGGGGATGGGGATGCTGGCATGGTCTATAAACCTACACAGGGAGCAGATTTCTGAGAGCAAAGGACATTTTAATGTAACAGACAAAGGCAGAATGAGATCCAATGGCTAGAGCAGGGATCAGTGATCTGTGGCCAACAGGAGGCGCAAGTGGCCGTACCTGCAGATACGCAGGTAAATAAAGTATCTGGCAGCACACCGGGGCTAACCCTGGTGAACCACATCCAACCTGCAGGCCACTTATTGCCCACCCCTGGGCTAGAGGCAGAAGCTGAACAAATTCAAATGGGAAGTAAGACACACCTTTTTTTAACAATGGGGGTAATTTACCAATGAGGCACCTGAGCCCCTAAGACAATGGGATACTCCATCACTAAGTCTTCAAGTCAAAACCGGATGCTATTGTAAGAGATACCCTCTTGCTCAGCTACAAGTTATACGCTTGACATAGGCCTCACGGAGTGAAATTTGAGGGCCTGCAGTATACACACACAACACACAGTCAGCCTGTGGAACTCCATGCCGGAAGATGTTATGAAAGCCAGGACTTTAACAGGTTTCAAAAATCTAGGAATGGGCAACAGGGGATGGATCACTTGATGATTCCCTGTTCTGTTCATTCCCTCTGGGGCATCTGGCATTGGCCACGGTCGGAAGACAGGACACTGGGCCAGATGGACCTTTAGTCTGACCCACTATGGCCATTCTTATATGTAGATCAGACTAGTTGTGTCCAGTGGTCCTTTCCAATGATCCCCCTAATCTTTTCTATCCATGGGCAGACGTTTTCCATCCATGTGTGGAATAAATTTTGTATGGGCACCAAGGCATGTGTGAACGTGCACCACCAGTAGAAACCAAAAATCTAGCTGTGGGCGCTCTGCAAATCAGCTGGGTGGCATCTGAATTTCTCCCAAGTGGCTGCACAAGCACACAGCTTACTGGGAACGCTGAGTCCTTCTGGCCAGATAACCTATGAATCCGCATGTGTACAGTGCCCAGCACCATGGTTGGGCTCTCCAAGCCCTACTGCAATACAAATAATAAATGGATAGCCGCCATAGCTTTGAGGGGAGGGGACATATGAATAAGGCTTGAAATAGGATGGGGCTTGTCCCCTAGCCTCCTGCTCTGTGCTGAGCTAAGTTCCCAGGAAGGGACAAGGAGCAGTTTCCCAAGGTGGGCGCTTTAATAGGGGATCCAGACAGATGTCTAAGGTGTCTCACCTCAGCATCTAAGTACGAATGAAGAAAGCATAGCAGGGGAGCCCAGTGGGTCCAGCTGGTGATGATCTGCGGGGAGGGGGATGTGTTGTCATTGTTATACATTTCATGGGCATGCCAGAGGGCTTTCTAACATGCAGCGCAGCCGGCAAATGTCCACACTGACACAGCTGAGTGACAATCCGAGCCCGCAGATCCGAAACGGGAACAGCCTCGTGAGCCACTCACTCACATTTGGAAATAGGGCCCCACATCTCCGATGGCTTGATTCCCTGCCACGTTGCAATCGTCTGCTGCAAGAGCAGCCAGCTGCCTCTTCCCCATTTTCTCTCCTTCTCCTGCCAAAGGAGCCTGGTTCTGAACGGTTCCCTTGGAAACAGACAGCTTAACCCTGCCACCTCACCCCCCTCCCCGCCTTGCTTGCTAGTGCAGGAGCAGAGCTATGCTCCAGCCTCTCTACTCTTCCCCCTGGTTTCTCTACCTGCTCACATTACACGAGCATGTGGCAAAGACGTGTATGATTCTTTGGGCGCGTGCCTCAGGCACTCTTTGGAAGATGCTTAGGGCCCATGTGCTGCAGCAGAGTGGGTGGCATCTGAGCTTTAGTTAGGCAGCCACCTGTTGCCCATGATTGTTGTTCCCTGCATTTGTATGTCTCTTCTCAAGAAGAAGGAAGAGTCAGATTCTAAGTCTCCACGGTAACAAGATGGACCTCTCCTTGTTCCCATGTCAACCAAATAAGAACCTCAGCCTACCTCCACCTCCACCACCCTTCCTCTGCCTGTCCTGGGTCGAAAAGCTTAAAAAGCAACCAGTGGTCCTGCAGTACCTTAGGGTATGTCTACACTACCCCGCTAGTTCGAACTAGCGGGGGTAATGTAGTCATCCGCAGTTGCAAATGAAGCCTGGGATTTGAATTTCCCGGGCTTCATTTGCATGAAGCCGGCCGGCGCCATTTTTAAATGCCAGCTAGTTCGAACCCCGTGCCGCGCGGCTAGACGCAGCACGGACTAGCTAGTTCGGATTAGGCTTCTAATCCGAACTAGCTGTACTCCTCGTTCCATGTGTAGACATACCCTTAGGGTAGGTCTACACTACCCCGCTAGTTCGAACTAGCGGGGTAGTGTAGACCTACCTTAAGGGTATGTCTACACATGGAACGAGGAGTACAGCTAGTTCGGATTAGAAGCCTAATCCGATCTAGCTAGTCCGTGCTGCGTCTAGCCGCGCGGCACGGGGTTCGAACTAGCTGGCATTTAAAAATGGCGCCGGCCGGCTTCATGCAAATGAAGCCCGGGAAATTCAAATCCCGGGCTTCATTTGCAAGTGCGGTATGCCTACATTACCCCGCTAGTTCGAACTAGCGGGGTAATGTAGGCATACCGCACTTGCAAATGAAGCCCGGGATTTGAATTTCCCGGGCTTCATTTGCAAGTGCGGTATGCCTACATTACCCCGCTAGTTCGAACTAGGAGGGCAGTGTAGACATACCCTTAGAGACTAACACAAAACTATAAATAGCATCTAAGGTGCTACAGGGCCACACGTTTGTTAAGCTTTTTTAAAGTCACAAACTAACACAGCTACCTACCCCTAGGAGACTTTTAAACATGCAACATCCCAGGAAGTATATTTGGCTGGAGGAGGGAGACCCACGACATAACTTACAATTTCACTGCAGTATTTCATCAATAGGATGTAATGAAATTAACCAGATGGCTACCAACACAGTGTGTGTGGCCATCCATTTCCAGCAAAAACAGCTTCTAGCTAGTTTGTGTCACAGTGCTTAGGAATGCTGGAATGGGTAGAATAATGGGATATCCGCCTGGACACCTCTATGTGGACACCGCATTTTCTTTATCAGAGAAGGCTGCATAATAAACAAAAACATGAACCATTACAAAGGCCTAGGGTGAGATATTCATACATTGAGACGCTGGGCTGAGCTGTGTCAGATCTGTTCCGATCGCTTGGGTCTGCAAAACTGGGCTGGATACAAGGAACATAGGAAATGCCAGAGAGGATAATATTACTGTTCTGTCTAGTTGAATAGCTTGTCTTTGACAGAGGCTGAAACTGGTTGCATCAGAGGAAGGTGCAATAGACCCGGTGGCAGGCAGCTAGAGAAAAACCTGCTCCCAGGAAAAGCTTCCTCAGAATCCCCAACATTTGAGGTTGGTTTATGCCCTACATTTATGAGGGCTTATTTTTCTTCCTTGTTTAGTCTTTTACTTTTTTTTACCATCATTGCAGATGTTCTTCTTACCCCAATTAATGTCCTTTTGTTTTTGGCCTCCTGCTAAATACTTGGTCTCAACAATGCCTTGTGGCAATGAGTTCCGCAGGTTAATTATGAGTAGAGCCTTGTTTAAGACATGAGGCACTTGTGGAGTGTGAAAAACTTCATGATAGCTAACTGTATTTTTCCACTGAGAACTGAGATTTGACAGGGATGATATTCCTTTTATTACTCAGTCTCAGACCAAATTACAATGTGGGTATTTTCACACACAGGGGATTCTAGGCTTTGGTATTGCTTGGCAAAAAAGGCCACCAACCAGGCAATTGTAGCACCCAGATTTACAGAGAGGTGGAATCAAATAGATTCGTTGAAGCAGATCAGGAAATCACCGCCAATGAGGCATCATCACGCCCTTCCCAAGTACTTTACGCCATCCCTGAGCTGAAAGAACCATCTGCCCTTCCCTGCGCCAGCTCCACAATCCGTCCCCCAAGGGGAGCCAAAATTCCGACCGGGACGCTTCCTGCACCAACAGCAAACCAAGAGCCCGATTGCCTGGTAACAAAGAAGGCTTGACACATCAGTCCCGGATCGCACCATAGTCCTTATTCACTGTGGAGAAGCGTATCAGGCGGACCTCGGGGGGCTTGGGTTTGGTATCATCCCACAGGTACTCCGGAGAGAGAAGCTTTGAGGGCTTGTGGGAAAGGAAGTGCCTGTTGAGGTGACTCTCCTCCTGCCAGGCCGCCATGATCCCATTGGCTTTGTCTGCCAGGATGGTCGTGTGGCAGTCCCTGGTGAACTCATACACCTGCTTGACCAACCCCCCGAAGACCGCCCCACCATAGTAGAAGTCCCCCTGGCTGTCAGGGATAAAGGCAGCGGAAGAGCTCCTCCTTTCATAAGGGAAGTGGCTGCGAGGGACGTTGTAGTACCCGGGGTGTATGGCCGCTACCCTCTCCCCCAGGGTCTCCACGCCCCACGGGTTGTGGAACACCATGTCGATGTCCAGGCAGAAGAGATAGTTCACCTCCCGGTGGCTCACGGCTGCGATGTGCCTGTTGATCGCCTCCATCCTGCGCATGGAAATCTCCTGCCAGTGAGAGTATTTCTTGATGGGGACAATAGCGAGGCTCCGGCCCGGCTGCAGCTGGGCTGTGAGGATCGCCTGGGGGTCATCGGTGAAGATGTAGTAATTGACCCGATAGCCCTTCATGAAGTGCTTCTCCGCTGACTCAAGGAAGCGGCCCACAAAGGTGGTGTACCTGCACAGACACAAAGGCAGTGGTGCCTATCACCGGGAGGGGCAGGCGGCTGTGTCCCCGGTTACTGGGGGTCTTTAATTTACTGATGTGATAGGAAGAGTTTTGCCTAGATACTGCTATAATGATGGGTGCATTCAGTGGGGCTGACAGACTCGCCGGGCCCCTGGGTAAGGTGTGTGGGGGGGGGAGTGTTCCGTGTCCCCACAAGCTGTGGGGCCTCAGGCAGAAGGGGCAGGACTTAGGCTAACCTTCCCCAGGCAGTCCTCAATGCTGTCCAGCGTGCGCCACGTGGGACTCTAGCAGCAATTTAAAGGGCCTGGGGATCCAGCTGCCGCCTCTACCAGACCCTGGAGCAGATGCCCCCTTTGCTCCTCCCATCACCCATCGGCAGGCATAGGTACACTGCAAGTGCAGTGGGTTAGAATAGCACTCAATTAGATGCGGGACATAAAGAACACGCCACGGCCCATTAGCTACCTATGAACAAGAAATCTCACCTCATGTCCCCGTTGGGGTTGCCAGGTGTCCAGTATCCAGTCTGGCTCCTGTCCAGTAAAAAAAATTCAGAGAATACCGGACACCTGGATTTTTCCCCAGCCAGGAGGTAAAAATGGCGGGCACCTGGCAACCCTACAAACACTCAACGCCCGGCTCCCAAAGCCCCCAGCTTCCCGACCCAGCCCTCATGCTTACCTGGTTCCCCAAGACTGACGGCCAAAAGACCTAGGGGAAGCAATGCTTTCCCCTGGGTCTTAGTGCTCAACCACTCCCCTGTTCCTATCCCTGCACTAACTCTGTTTTATTTTAATTTTTTTTTGCTCAACAACTTTGGTCTCCCCTCCCCCCTTTTATTTTCCCCCTTCGATAGATTTTTTTCCCAGTGGTTTTTTTTTTTTTTTTTTGGAGGAGGGGTGTTCAGTATTTTTGTTTCAACCATCTGGCAACCCTAGTCCCAGCTCTCGCTGTTCTCAAGGGGAACCTGGGATGTGCTTGCCCAATGGCTGGCTGGGCTTCCGTGGCCTTCCCGCTTGGGCAGCCATTTAGGGTCTGTCGACACTGCAGCCAAGTGTGATTGCAGCACGAGTAGATGTACCGGAGCAAGCTGTCACCTAGCTAGCTCAGGTCCCACCAACAGTCGGGTGGCAGCATGCACTAGCCAGCCAAGAAGCCAGGCTCCTTGGCAGGCCTGTCCTCAGGCCGCTGGCCCACACTGCAACCCGTGCTCAGTCCACATCATCACTACTATTAGTACCTGTCATGGAGTCAGAGAGGTGATGCCCTAAAACTGTCCCAAGAAGCATCACTACTATTAGCACCTGTTATGGAGTCAGGGAGGTGATGCCCTAAAACTGTCCCAAGAAGCCAGGCAGGACTCTACGGTATGGTGCCTCCTCTCTCTGAGCACCCTGGTGCCAGGGCGAGAAGCTGACACAGCTTTGACCTTCCTGGGTCTGACCTTGGAGCAACCAGCATCTCTTTCCACACCATGAGGTTGCTTGGCTGGGACCCCTTCACCACAACACTGCAGCCAGCAGCGACTCTTGGCCACCAGGGAGGACGGAAGGTTTATTCGTCAACAGGGACACAGCACAGAATAGATCTAGTTAGCACGGAAGTCAGGAACATTCCCTAGAGTCCATCTTAGGAGGAAGGGAGGGAGGGCTCTGCCCTCCCCTAAGCCCCAGCCTCCAAGACTGAGCCATGTGCAGCTGCCTGGCCCCCCAATCTCCTCATTGTTTCTCCTCCAGCCTCTGTCCTGCTTCCAGGGCCAAGAGTCATAGGCCACATCCTGCTCCTGGGGCTCAGGTTACAAAGGGGCCAGCCTTCGCATTAGTGCTGGCAGCTGGAGCAGATTAGTGCCACACGCAGGGAAACTGAGGCACACACCGGGATCATGCAAAACAGTAAGACTCACCTAGGCTCACATACAAAACAACGAGAGAAAATTCCCACTGCGTCACAGCACCCACCATGCTAGCCTGATTAAAGCTAGCTCCAGTGTATCTACACATGCTGCAACCGCACCTCCATTGCACAGTACCTGGTGGGAGCAAAAACATCACCATTTTGATCTGCATGGGTATGGACAGTTTTTCCAGACAGAAGTGGTCTCTTCTCACATTGTCTAATGAGCACCCATGTGGTTCCAGTTTTTCAGCTGGGAGAAGTCACTGCGGGGTCATTTGACTTACACTCAAGCACCAGAACCATGTTTATTTTTAAAGGCTGTGTTACGTTGCATCTAATGTTCCTGGGATACTACACAGTTGGCAGGTGATGGCTGGCAAGGGAGGTTATTGCATGCCAGCGTCTATACCAATGAAACAAGCTATATTAATGCAAGCGCAGCTTTGCCCACACATCTGCATCTTCATTGTAGCTTCTCAGTACCGTGTTGTCGGGTACTTCTACACTACAGAGAACGATAGAAGCTGCCACAGTCGATCTTCCAGGGTTCGAATTAGTGGATCTAGTGAAGACAGCTAATTTGAAGCGAGACGGGCGCTCCGGTCCATGCCGGTAGTCCTGCTTCCATGAGGAGTGAGGGAAGTCTAAGGGAGAGTGTTCTCCCGTCGGCTTCCTGCAGTGTGAACAGTGCCAAAAGCCGAGTGAAGGTGCTTCGACATTAGCCACGCAATTAACGTAGCTGACATTGCGTATCTTCACTCGACCCTGTCCCATAGTGTAGCTGTACCTTCAGGAATCACACCTCTTGCCTGATGCCACAGCTACACTTTGGGCACTTCGGTGGCACAACGATAGCTCGGTAACTGTGCCGCTGTAGCACCATGCTGTGGGGGCTTCCTACAGCGAGAGAGGGTTTTCCATTGATGTAGATAATCTACCTCCCCAAGCAGCAGCAGCTAGATTGATGGAAGACGTAGCCAGAGCTAGACTGTTTCAGTTGGCATGGCTACAGCGGTCAGGAGGTGTGATTCATGCCCACCTAACTTTTAACTATAGACCAAGCCGGCCTTAGTGTCTCTGTACTGGACTAGCACTGGTGTTATGCAACACAGCATGTCCAGCAGGACTGACAGCCTCACCGGGCCCCTGGCCAAGGCAAGGGGGGGCCCTGCTTTGCACCCTGGAAGGAGCCCAGGCTGGGGAATAGGCATCCCTTAGTGCCACCCAGAGAGTACTGCGCCTCCCCCAGCCATGCAGCACTCCAGCAATTTAAAGGGGCCGGGGTTCCGGCTGAAACCACATTAACAGCTGGGAACTCTGGGCCCTTTTGTATCCCCGGCCCTGGGGTAACTGTCCCCATCCCCCACCTGTCGAGCAGGCCTGAGAGGCAGCAATGGACCTTTGCGGTACCGAACCTACTTGAGTTCTTGGGAGGCAGCATCGTCTAGTGATCCAGGGTCCGCCGGCAGGCCCGCCAACAGCAATTCTGGGTCCCAGGGCAGAACGAGCAATGGGCCCCCTCATGCATGCAAAAGCCACACTCGCACGACGCTGTCCGCCTGACATTTGGGTGGTGCTGCACCTCCACGGGCTGGTGCCCAGAGAGTTGCCCGCTCTGCTGCGTGGCGCACTCTTCTGGCACAGCCAGGCCTTCCACATGCCTGTCCAGCAGGGTTGCCAACTATCTAAGCATGCAAACTCAAATATGGTCGCCCTGGCCCCTTCCCTGCCCTGCTGTCCTTGAGGCCATGTCCTTGTCCCACCCCTTGTCCAAAGCCCTGCCTCCTGCTTACTCCGTCCCCTCTCCCTCTGTGGCTCACTCTCCCCCACCCTCACTCACTTTCACCAGGCTGGGGCAGGCAGTTGGGGTGCAGGCTTTGGGAAGGAGTTTGGATGCAGGAGGGGGTGTGGAATGAGGGTTCTAGGAGGGACTTAAGTGCTGGCTCTGGGCTTGGGCTGTGGCAGGGGTTTGGAGAGCAGCAGGGGACCAGATGGTTGGCACTTACCTTGGGTGTCTACTAAAAGTGACCAACGCATCCCTCTGGCAACAGCTCCCAGGCAGGGCACTAGAGGGGTGTCCGCATACCATTGCCTGCAGGCACTGCCTCTCTAGCTCCCATTGGCTGCAGTTCCTGGCCAATGGGAGCTGCAGGGGCGGCACATGGAGACTCCACTTCCACCCCACCCCCTAGGGGTCATAGGTACATTCTGGCCACTAAGAGAGGGTGGGCAGGACGTCTGCCTTAGCTCCACTGTGCTGCCAGCAGCAGCCAGAGGTTCCCTGTCCCTTTTAAACTGCCCAGGCCTCTGGGTAATTGCCCCCTTTGCTCCCTCATCGGTGTGTATGCAAGCAGGTTTCGGGGGGGAGGGGGGTCTGGCATTGGAAAAGCTTCAGAAAAGGGCAACAAAAATTATTAGGGGTTTGGAATGGGTCCCATATGAAGACAAATGAAAAAGACTTGCATTTTCAGCTTAGAAAAGAGGAGACTAAGGGGGGATATGATAAAGGTCTATAAAATCATGACTGGTGAGGAAAAAATGAATAAGGAAAAGCTATTTACTTATTCCCACAATATAAGAACTAGGGGACACCAAATGAAATTAATAGGCAGCAGGTTTAAAACAAACAAAAGGAAGTTTTTCTTCACTCAGCGCACAGTCAACCTGTGGAACTCCTTGCCAGAAGGCCAGGACTTTAACAAGGTTCAAAAAAGAGCTGAGGTTAGGTCCATCAATGGCTATTAGCCAGGATGGGTAGAAATGATATCCCTAGCCTCTGTTTCTCTGGAAGTGGGTAACAGAAGGGATCACATGAGGATTACCTGTTGTGTTCCCTCCCTCTGGGGCATCTGGTGTTGTCCAAAGTCAGTAAACAGGTACCGGGCTAGGTGGACCTTTGGTCTGACACAGTGTGGCCATTCTTAGAATCATAGAATCATAGAATAATAGGACTGGAAGGGACCTCGAGAGGTCATCGAGTCCAGCCCCCCGCCCTCAAGGCAGGATCAAGCTCCGTCTACACCATCCCTGACAGATGTCTATCTAACCTGTTCTTAAATATCTCCAGAGAGGGAGATTCCACCACCTCCCTTGGCAATTTATTCCAATATTTGACCACCCTGACAGTTAGGAATGTTTTCCTAATGTCCAATCTAAACCTCCCCTGCTGCACTTTAAGCCCATTACTCCATGTCCTGTCCTCAGAAACCAAGAGGAACAAATTTTCGCCTTCCTCCTTGTGACACCCTTTTAGATATTTGAAAACCACTATCATGTCCCCCCTTAATCTTCTTTTTTCCAAACTAAACAAGCCCAGTTCATGAAGCCTGGCTTCATAGGCTTCTCTAGACCTTTAATCATTCTTGTCGCTCTTCTCTGTACCCTTTCCAATTTCTCCACATCTTTCTTGAAATGTGGCGCCCAGAACTGGACACAGTACTCCAGCTGAGGCCTAACTAGCGCAGAGTAGAGCGGCAGAATGACTTCACGAGTTTTGCTTACAACACACCTGTTAATACAACCTAGAATCATATTTGCTTTTTTTGCAACAGCATCACACTGTTGACTCATATTCAACTTGTGGTCCACTATGACCCCTAGATCCCTTTCCGCCATGCTCCTTCCTAGACAGTCGCTTCCCATCTTGTATGTATGGAACTGATTGTTCCTTCCTAAGTGGAGCACTTTGCATTTCTCTTTATTAAACCTCATCCTGTTTACCTCCGACCATTTCTCTAACTTGCTAAGGTCATTCTGAATTATGTCCCTATCCTCCAAAGAAGTCGCAACCCCACCCAGTTTGGTATCATCTGCAAACTTAATAAGAGTACTCTCTATCCCAATATCTACATCATTGATGAAGATATTGAACAGTACGGGTCCCAAAACAGACCCTTGAGGAACTCCACTTGTTATCCCTTTCCAGCAGGATTTAGAACCGTTAACAACAACTCTCTGACTACGGTTATCCAGCCAATTATGCACCCACCTTATCGTGGCCCTATCTAAGTTATATTTGCCTAGTTTATCAATAAGAATATCATGCGAGACCGTATCAAATGCCTTACTAAAGTCTAGGTATATGACATCCTTGAGGGGGCTGTCTCCTAACACTGGCCCTGGCTTTTGTATGCAGAAAAGCAGTTGTGGCAAAGGTGGGCCATGGTGTTTTTATTGGACCTTGGAGGGGGGGATTCAGAACCTCTGGTTTAGTGGTTAGTGCACTTCATGAGGACTGAGGAGAGCTATGTTCTATGTCTGGCTCTGTCACTAGTCCGCTGGGTGACCTTGGACAGGACATTTCCCCACTCTATGCCTCAGTTTATCCATCTATAAAATGGGGTAATAGTGGATCAAACAAAGTCTCCTGTGACCTACTGATAAGAGCTAGGGATGATGGTGCTTTTTCTAACTGATTCCACAGAGCTAGCGCATTTGCTACGAACAGGCCACAAGGCCCTCACCTTCAAGGGGAAACTTGAGCATGCGTAAGAGATTGTGCCTGACCCCAGATCTCTAGCCCATGCTTGTCTTCGCCCTCTTCCTTGAGCAAGTCATTTAATCCCACTGCCGCCCGCCCGTTGCTCTCACTGCCACACCCCCGCAGGACACCAAGCACTGGCAGGATCAACGCCAAAGACAACACTGGCGAGGGAGCTTTTGGAGGCGGCGAGCCTTTTGCCTCATGAATCCGAGCCGTCGGGTGACTCACTCACTTGCCAATGGCGAAGGCTGTCACCCCTATGGTGAGGTTCAGTGGCTTGTAGGTGCCGTCCAGCAGTTTGGAGTCGAAAGTTCCTTCCCAAACAATGGGGGCCAGCCAGGGCGTGAGAGTCAGCACGTCCAGGCGCCTACAGGCAGAAGAGAAGGGTGGTAAACAAAACGAAACTGCCCCTTTGGCCTGGGTCCAGTGTAGCTGAGAACGAGACGCTGGCCAATGCATGTGTGAAGGCAATCGTCAACCTTTCAAGTTCCATTGGGCAGGAAACAGGCCAGTCTCCCCTCTGTTTGAATTTTCCCTCGCGGCAGCCTGGAGGCTTCACAGCTATATGATTCTCTCCAGCTGCTGCCATCACCTCGCTGCACGAGCAGTGACGCTGGACAGCCCAGAATTTTCTCCAGACTATGCCCCACAACTATTTGTGGCTGAGACTTACCAGAATCTTATGTGGCCAAGTTGTAGGACTCTGCCAGCATTCAACTATCTCCCTGCCTCCACCTTCCAGCTGAGATCCTCACGATCACTGAGGGCATGCCAACTAGTTTCAAGGAATCCAGGAAATAGTCTAGAGGAATCCTGGGCCCAGTCTTGTTGGGGTTATGAGGGAGTGGAACGGGAGCCCTCGAGGTCAGGGAGGGCTTTGGGTAAAGGAACTGGGAGCAGGACTCAGATCCTTTGGCTAGCCCTCACTGGGGTAATATAGAAACCAGGAAAGTGGCTTAGTGACTAATTGGACCTCATGTTCGAGGCGCCTTGAGTGTTACTTTCTTGTACTGTAACTTACTAAAACTCTGTGGGGTTTTTTGGCTGGCTAGCCCTAGGTCCAAAAGAAAGGGGAAGGGTCAATGAGAAATCAGGACTCAGACTCGGGAACAATGGGAGGAGGCCAATGCCCCAAGTCAGGCTGATTGACAGATGTGAGGGATGCTGCTCTTTTCTAAACATCCCAGCAGTCAGTAACTAAAGGGTTAAACCCAGGGTATCCAGGAAGTGTTGGCAGGGAGCCAGGAGAAGCAATGGAAAGAAAGTGTTGAGATTTGAATTGAAAGGGATTCTGTCTGCTGCAGTTCTTTTGTGGGATTTGGAACCAGAAGCTAAGGGGAAAAGATTAATTAGACCAGGCAGGAATATTCATGCCTAGAAATGGACTGGACCTTGAAGTTACAGATATGTAAGTGATAGTGAATGTTTAATTAGATGTGCTTTGGTTATTTTCTGTGTTTTGTAGTTTGTTTAAATGAATGTGTATTCCACATACAGAACCAAATGTCCCCCCTCCACACTGTAACTAAAACTGAATCCCAGGGAAGCAATTCTCTGTGCTGTAATCTGTATTTTCTTAGTTGCTCTATAACACCTAGCAACCAATTATGCTTTCCCAAGTAGATCTTTTTGTTTTGTTAATAAAATCACCTTTTTTAAGACTATGATCTGATTCTTGTATTCTGGAAGGTAATAAGAGATCTATATATGCATGCCTAAGACTATCAGCTATCAGTGATTACAGGTGGGGTTTTTTCAAACTCTCTTGTGGTAAAAGAGCTCTGGAAGAAGTTCCCAAGTGAATCTTCCTGGGTTCAAGAAGAAAGGTGTTGTTTTTTTCACTTGGGTGATGGCAGCATCCCACCCAAGCTTAGGGAATCTGTGTCCTTGAGGAGTTTAAGCAGAAGCCTATGGAAGCAAGGTATTTTTAAAAGCTCTTGCAGGCCCCACCTTCTGCAATCAAAGTCCCAGAATAGGGAACAGCCCTGACAACAGGGCAGGTAGACTAATGAGGGAATGAGGAGGCCAGGGAAGGGGAGGGATCCCAGCCTTGTATAGCTGGATTTGTCTGGGCCTGATGGAGTGGGTCCCATTTACAGAGAGCAGGATCCAGAGCAGAGACGGAGGAGAGTCCTGCCAGTCAGAGAGAGCCAGAGACACAGCCCAGCCGCCGATCCATGCTGGGAGTGGGGCTGCAGCCACAGAGCCAGAGGAGCCAGAGAGACAGCTCAGGAGCTGGAGGCAGCACAGCAGAGAGTGGAGCTGATGAGCAACCGGGGAGAGCGGGGGGACTCTAGGTAAAGACCCAGCTCAGGGGGGATTTCACCAGCTAAAAAGCCTAGAAGTCCACTGGGGAGAAGGTTCCTGCCTCCCAGAGCAAGTGTCTGACCTGCAGCGTCCCTGCAGCACAGCCAGAGCCTGAGGAGGAGGCCTGGGATCTACAAGGAACAGACTGAACTGTCCTTACACCTCTGACACACTGTGTGTGAGGTCTCTGGTCCACAGAGCAGAGTGACGGGTTTTCTGGTCCCTTTTTCTATTTTCCCCCTTATTTTTTCTAAATTGTTTAATAAATTATATTTGTTTGAACTGTACGTCACCATCAGGGGGTCAGGGAAATGTCCAGACTGAAGAGAGGACCCCAGAGTGGGGACACCCAGCTCCTGCCCTAGGTGACCGCAACAAGATCAGGGATCAAACCCCCCAGGAATCCTGCGCCCAGCTTTGTTAGGGTTACAAGGACTCTGCCACACAGGGCAGTGGAAGGGGAGCCCTTCAGGTCAGGGAGGCCTCTGGGTAAAGGAAGTGGGAGTGGGGATTCATGTCCTTTTGCTAGCCCACTTCACCAGGGTAGCGTGGAAGCCAGGAATGTTCCCCTCACTAGAGGGACCAATCCCCTGCTTACATATGGGAGACGAATGACATCTAGATACAATACATTCAGGAATGGGGGAGAAAGAACAGAATTTGGTTCTGAATGACATTTAGATACAATACATTCAGGAACTGATGGGGGAGAAAGAACAGAATTTGGTTCTATATGTAGAAAATACATTCATTTAAGCAAGAGCTTCTCTTTCCAGATCCCTGAGGTCTTATTTCTGGACACCCTGGGAGTAAGTTTTTCCCTTTTATCAAATGTTTCTTTCATTTCAAAGGGCTTCACTGGATCTCTCAGGGTCACTCATTCCCTATGGAATTTATATCCAGGGTAGCATGTGCAACCACTAAATAGCTCCCCCCCAGGAAATATGTCACACCAAAAGCTGCTAGAAAACACAACATAATGGGCTGGATTCTCTTCTTACTTACGCCAATATAACTCCATTGATTTCACTGCAGTTACAATAGACCCTTATGTAACATGACAGTAATGGTCCTAGAAAACTGCATCATATAGAATAGTAGAACTGGAAGGAACCTCGAGAGATAATCAAGTCTAGTCCTCTGCCCTCATGGCAGGACTAAGCACCATCTAGATCATTCCTGATAAATGTCTATCCAACTTGCTCTTAAATATTTCCAGTGATGGAGATTCCACAACCTCCCTAGGCAATTTATTCCAGTGTTTAACCACCCTGACAGTTAGGAAGTTTTTCCTAATGTCCAACCTAAACTTCCTTTGCACCAATTTAAGCCCATTGCTTTTTGTTCTAGCCTCAGAAGCCAAGGAGAACAATTTTTCTTCCCTCCTCTTTGCAATACCCTTTTAGATACTTGAAAACTGCTATCCTGTCCCCTCTCAGTCTTCTCTTTTCTAAACTAAACAAGCCCAATTCTTTCAGTCTTTCCTCATAGGTCATATTCTCTAGGCCTTTAATCATTTCTGTTGCTCTTCTTTGAACTTTCTCCACATCTTGCTTGAAAAGATAAAAACATGTTATATAAACTGAAGAGCAAATGGGAAAAATAGGGTTATATTCCCAACATGACAAAGTTGTACATGTTGGGGGCACAGGAAAGGGTGCATGGTGCTGACTCTGGGAGGGAGCTTGGGTGCGGGAGGGAGATTAGGGCAGAGGGACTGGGGCATAGGAGGAGGCTCAGGTTGTGGGATGAGGCAGCACACAGGGCCTCTGCCTGGAGCCACAGGCATGGGGAGCTGCCTGAGGTGAGCGCCCCCTGGATTCAGCATCCTGAGCCACCTCCTCCTGCCCCGAGTACCTCACGCACCCAAACTCCCTCCTATGACCATGCTCCTACGAGCACTATAAAAATAGTACACACAGCAGAAAAATGGGTCACCAATGGAAAACTGCATTATGTCGAAAACATGCTGTCTAAATGCACGTTACGTAAGGGCTGACTGTACTCGCAATTGACACCAGCGTGCCTGAGAGGAGAATTAGGCCCACCGTGTCCTGGCAAAACAGCAATGGGGATGGAAACATAGATGCATACGCACGCCTCCCCTTTGAGTTAAAATGATGGCTTATGAAGGACACTCGTTAGAGGCATCAGTGAGCAGGGGCGGATATAGGGCAGGGCGAACGCGGCGGCCGCCCCGGGCCCCGCGCTTCAGAAAGCCCCGCGCATGCGCCGTGGCAAAGGGGGGGCCCCGTGGAATTATGCTGCCCGGGGCCCTGCAAAACGGTCATCTGCCCCTGTCAGTGAGGCCACATTAGACTCACTCCAGCAAAGGTGCGGTACATGCTTAGCTCCCCGCTTGAGCCAGGGCAAGGTCAGGGACTGCATTTTTCACTCTGGTAGGCAATCGTTATGGAAACGCATTGCAAGGCTCTTTCCAAATCCTAATGATGTGCCCAAAAGGAATTGAAACTTCCCCTGTTGGGGCTTTCTACTGTTGGTCATCACCATAGCCTCTGAGCACCTAACTCGTCATTCCTAACTGGCTATCGAGGGATGATTAACAGAGAACGAGACCAAAGACACCAGCACCACAACCCTTGGGAGATAATGCATCAGCCATCCATTCACTGTCAAGAGGCTGTATTCTCTTACCCATTACCCTGCGTGTGGAGCATGAGTATGTCTACACTAGCTCGTTAGTTCGACCTAGGTAGGCAAATGAGGGCAACGGGAGTTGCAAATGAAGCCCAGGATTTAAATATCTCGGGCTTCATTTGCATCTTCCCGGGCGCCGCCATTTTAAAATCCCCCTTAGTCCGAACTCCGTGCCTGCAGCTACACGTGGCACGGAGTAGGTAGTTCGAATTAGGATCTCTAATTCGAACTACCTGTAGACATCGTTTCATGAGAAGTAACGGTAGTAAAATTAGAGATCCTAATTCAAACTACCTACTCCATGCCGCGTATAGCCGCGGGCACGGAATTCGGACTAAGGGGGATTTAAAAATGGCTGCGCCTGGGAAGATGCAAATGAAGCCTGGGATATTTAAATCCTGGGCTTCATTTGCAACCCCGGTTGCCCTCATTTGCCTACTTAGCTTGAACTAACGAGCTAGTGTAGACATACCCACAGTGTCTTTGACTTCAACTCATAGAGTAAGGTGCTGTTCACTGCAGTTAAGGGTATTGCATCCTGACTCTTCATCTTAAAGGGTCTGATCCTCAGAGACACCAACCACCGACCCTGAATTGAAGGTCAGCGGTGCTGTGGGGGGTGGGGAATGTCACAAAAATCAGACTGTTTGGGATTGGGAGGGTACTTACTTCTGCTCCAGTGATCTTGGCTGAGGATAGACTAGCCTGCAAAGGAGAACAAACACTCACTGAATAAGAGAGGACCAGGCCTAGGGGTGAGGAAAAGCATTTCCAAGGGGATGATATTAAAAAGATGAGTGCTTACTGAGGGAAAAGCTGGACGGGCTTCTCTTCTGCATACTGTAGTTTCATGGAGCTGCACGAGAAAGAGGGAAAGGTCTGTACATTCTCCTTGAAATGAGGAGGCAAGTCAGTTTCAGGATCGGTCCTGGTACCAAATACTCCTCAAAGCACAGGCCCTGGTTGCTCCCACCCTGGCGGCGGGCTGTGTGTAATGCCTCCCTTGGTAATGCTTCAAGAGCAGTTACAGACACAATTTGTTTAAAATGGCACCTCGCTACACAACCCCCTAGGGGGTGGGGGAGACTTTCAGGGAGCCCTTTACAAGTTCCTCCTGGATTCTCCGGGGGAAACAGGAGAAGGCAAGCACCTCCAGACAATAAGTCCATGGGATATATGCTAGTAGAGACTGCCAGTGGGCGTTGCATATCAGACACAGCACAGCTTGCTCCCCATAGGGAGCGGGCTGCGCTGGCTCTGGACCCACTGGGGCACCCCCCACTTGTGCAGGAATTTTTAGCTGAGAGACGGGGTGTGTGTTGGGCCCGACTCACGTGCAGTCACATGCATTCCCCGGAAGCCCGCGCCGAACGCTAGCAGAAGCGCAACTCAGCAGGGCTCAGCCTTCCGCTTGCACCTGCTCGCCAGAGGACATCTGTCCTCCTTTGGGTCTTGCAGTGCACGAACAGCGACAGGTGGGCAAGTGCTGGCTTCTCCTCAGCCCCAGCCGCACCATGTCCGTGTGGCAGCTCTTTGCTACTGGTGAGAACTGAAGGGGCACGAAGCACCCAGCTGAGCTCACAGATCCCAGCTGCCCTGGGCAGCTCACAAACATCCCAGCCAAATGTTACCTTCTAACGGAGGGAAGGGAAGCAAACCCAGAGAACTCTAGATTCTGATCAGTGCTGGCGCTAGCTCCGCAACGGGCAAGGGAGAGTGACCACACAAGCTGACCCTCCTTCATTTCAGTGGGCCGCAAGAGTGAACCAAGACAGTCTCCTGGGATAGGATAATTTTGCGAAGGGTGCTTGTGTGCCTAGAACGTGAACCGTAGCAGCGCTTTGACTGGAGGCTGAGGGCGCACACGGCTCTCGCAGCCCATGCTGTGAGCAGTCCCCCCACACCGCACTGCACGCGTGTGTGTCACACGGAAACCAGCAGAATCTGGCAACCCTGCGCATGTGCAGCAGTAAACACATCGTCACGTGGGCTACACAGAATCCTGAGGGGCGCCTCAGTTCACCTCGTGGTAAGGCCAGCCCTGACAGGGAGTCTGCAAGGGTACGTACGCCAGAAGGTCTGTGAGGCATGTCCAGGGCTGATCAATGCCTCTCTCCCAGGGCCTCTTATAGGCCATGGCACAGTTGTTCCACAGCAGGCAGAGGGTGCTGGGAGGGTGGGGAAGGAGCAGGGCGGGGGCGTGGGC